GTCTTCACCGGAATAGAACGGCTGGTCATTATCGCTGCATCTGGACCGAAGGTGTGCCAAATACACCTACGATAATCGGGCATTCTATTCGGGTGAAGACGGTAGTGCAACCGAAAGTCCGAAAAATTCTGTAAGGTTAGTTTGTCTGACGTATCAGTGTAACTGCAGTGACCTTTGAACATTGAACAAAATAGCGTCGAGCTTCGAAGCACATGGATATTGCAGAAGGGACATGAGCCGGGCTTAGGCACAGGCTGCTACTTCTGGGATTATCGCGGCCCAGAGAGAACGGGCACAGCGGTCCAGATCCTACCGACCCTCTCCTAGTGGCCGACCCCGGGCGCCTATGCAACCAAGTGTCCTGGTTGGTAGTACGCCTTCCTAAACGACACACCTACATAGTCCCAATTGTCCTCACACAGGTCGAGATCCTACCGACCCTCTCCTAGCGGCCCACCCGCGACCCAACGCAACCGAGTGTGCTGGTTGGTAGTCCGCCTTACTAAACGACATACCTAGTCCCAACTGCCCTACTTACCTGCCCGCCCTCCTCAATGACACACCTACAGTAGTCCCAACTGCCCTACTCACCTGACCCGGAGTCCCATCCCGGTCCCATTCCCCCCCTATCTTGCTCCCCCCTCCTAACCCAGGGTTCTGTATGATCACTGTCAAGCAGCCATTTTGTTAGCACCAGCCCCCTTCGTCGTTGAGTGCACTGCAGCGAGCTGATGGCTTCTTTTCCTACGTATGCAGGAACTGATGCAGCTGCCTGCCCCTTCCCCTGCGTGCCGCTTCCCCTCTGCCTGCTCTCGCTTTCCTCCTCCAGTCAACGCGAATATAGCTTGCTTCGGCCCTTCAGCCCTTGTTTGATGTGTGATATGTCGTTCTTGTGAATGCTTTGGCATATTTTTTTTTGTTTTGTTTTTGCGATGTCGGCGTTGCAAGTATGTGTGCTGTTTGAATTTTCTGTTTTGCTGTGTGGTCTTTTTGTTTTGTTTTTAAGCAAAACAATCCCCGGAGGCAGCATGAGATGCTGGTAGGAGCAGACATCTCTAGGTACTCCCAGGGAGGCACCATCTATTAGCGGGGAGCGGCACCTGCTGGGAAACGGGCCCAGCGTCCCCGCATACAAGTTATACCCAGTGGGGTGCCTCCGCAGCCCCGCAACCGGGCCGTTGAGCTGCAAACCCCTGAAGCTATTCCATCAAACTCTTTCAGGCCCTTAAATCGTTCCTCTCCCAGAGAGCTGCAAACCCCTATACCCTTTTCCCTAAGCCCTTTGAGGCCCTCAATTCTTCGAGATTGAGACAGCGCTTAGCATGGCAACAGAGTCTGCGGGACACATTTCTGTCCCCTTTCCAACCTTCTCAGCTGCGCCACCAAGGTAACAACTCGAAGATGCATATTTCAGGGTAAGCTTGTGCCTCGAGTGGCGATCCGTCTTTCGGCCTGCTTAGCTGGGCTTCGGGAACTGTCATCTTGTTGTTGTCACGGCTGGAGTCGCTGTGCTTCCTGTCGTGGGCCGTGAAGGGTTGGGCCGTGCGTTGATCATGTTGCTCGCATTCCTTGCTGCGCCCATAGCTTGTCAGCCCTGGCGGGGCCGGGGGATGGAGGAGGCGGGGG